GTATATATTTAAGAAATATTTGCACACACACACATAACGTATATTTCTTAAATACATACATGTATGTGTGTATTTATATATACATATCAATATACACAGTACACACACCTATATTATGTAAACAATATATGTTTACATACAATAAACTTTTAATCGATTTGACAGCACTAGTTTAACATAAAGTTAAACACACTTTCCCTGTGGAGATAATAAATGGAGCTTTTACTTCCGGAACCCGACTGTTGCAATCTACTTCAGATAACCCACACCTAAATGGCATGTAAAAAGTGTTTTGTTGCTTTACATGTCAGTCAGGTAGAATGAGCAGCAAACCAACATTATGCTGCAAGTCTGAGGCTACTTGTCATGTGACCAAAACCTTAATGATGTCACAGTACCGCTATACTATGATGGTTCTGTCTGTCAACGCTCTGTGCTCACACTCACTCGAACATGCACTTTTCATGCACATTGTGTGTGTTTGTGGTACAGCATTCAGACCTGCTCGTAAGACATTCATTGGAGCCTATTGTACTTAACTACAGAGGCTCTGTTCCTCAGGATAGGAGAGTCTGGCTGTTTTAAAAGAACTTGAATTAGTTAAAGGGAGAGTCGAGATCTTATGATCCCAATGAAACTTGCTTGTCCTGTTAAATGAGGGACTGAATAAAACTTAATCTGTATTATTATTATTATTATTATTTGTAATTGCATCTGCTTGGTTAGTTTGACCACACCAGGCCTAAAGGTCAAAAAGTCATTACCACTTGAGCAGCAGTGAGAAGCCTGAGATTTAATACAATACTGAATATCATTATTATTTTTATATTTTCCTACTGTTACTTTGACAATCATTTCAGCCTAAATGTGATTATTGTCCACCTTTTGCACACGGTGTGAGCATATAAATCAATACAGTGGTTATGATGTGGAAGAATTATGGGCCAGGAGAAGGTGGATGCTCACCAAATGTAACTGCTTAATTCAATATGATAACTCGTGTAGGAATGACTTTAGACACGCATTACTGCCTCATACAAGTGAACAGGATGTGAAAGTCCATTTATTCCAAATATGTACATAAAAAATATGAGAATTAAATATTTTTTTCTGCAATAAAACTGTGGTGTTGTGATTAATATTTTTAATGGCTCAGTGGTAGAGCATAGTGTTAGCAGTGCAAAAGGTCATGGGTTCAATTCCCAGGTAACACACATACTGTTCAAAGTAAAAAAAATGTGTAGCCTAAATGCACTGGAAGTCACTTGTGTCTGGTAAATGTAAGTATTCAGTTTCTGCATTGTTATCACATGAACTTTCATGGGAGTGGCATCCAGATATTCTGGAAATATATTGTTTTTCTGTTTTTAATTAAGTTTTGCAGCCTGAGTAAAATTACAGATGTTAAAAATCGCAGGTTACTAAAATGAGCTATTTTCAATATATCATCTCTGTTCAGTTTCAAGGTCCAAACTTTGAATCTCTTTTATTTCTGTGCGATAGCAGGAATATATTACTTTTGTGTTCAGCCTTTTTGGTTTGTGGATAAAAGTAGGTCTGTGGTTAACATTACTTGAAGAGACTTTACTGTTTTATTTTTTAAAGCAACATACAGTGGGGAAAAAAGTATTTAGTCAGCCACCAATTGTGCAAGTTCTCCCAATGTTTTATTTTTTAAAGCGTACAACAAATTATGCACAGTCATATTCTCAGGTGTGAATTTTGAAACCATTGTGTGCTCTAAAAAATAAAAGTCTGTCTGTCGCAGCAACTTATGTTTTTTTAAAGAAACAAAAGTGCTTCAAAATTAATTTACAATTTAAATTGTTTTTGTTGCAGAATAAAAACGTGAAAGCAATATTTACCACTAAATTAAAAAAATTAATACAGTACTGCATGGTTCAAAACGCTAATTCTCTTGCAGGTCTAAGGACTAGAAACTGAACAGCTCTATTGTCTTAATTAATTTTCACCAGCTCTTATCCTTACATAGTCGCATGAAAAGACATTTCTCAGCACAAAGAAAATAAAATGACCCTGGCCACTCTCTCATGCGCCGAATAAACATTGCAAATGCTAACATATGCTAATGAGCTTCCTTTTTCCTCCCACAGAGAATAGACTTGGTTCATTAACTAAACAAACACAAAACTCCATCGTCTAAATATCATTTTAATTAAAGACGGGGAAACAGACGGGCCCGTGGGGGGAATCAGGCTCCCCCTGAAAATGCCACACCTGGACGCAATCTCTCCCGTGCCCTTTCCATTTTAATTTCCCGGGGAAATGAGTTCAGAATGTCAATAGATGAGTATCACCCAGTTGAGAGGGATAATTAGGTTTGCCGTGTGTCCTTTCAGATTACAAACGTTAATGAAGAAACGGACTCCATGGCGCTAACACACTTCTCTAAATCGAAGTTCATCTCTCTGAGGGCCCGTGAACCGGAGGTGAGGAGATGAGCAATTTAGACATGTCCCTCTCTAGACTACAAATCAGGAATTAGAAGAGCTCTGCTTTTACAGCACAGAGTCACATTCAAACAATGACATTCTTTTGACAAGTAGGAACAATCTGCGCAAAGAATACTTCAAAACTTCACTCATGAATATTAATTAAGTGACTAGACAGTAGTCCTAGCTGATTGGCTGAAAGACAGACTGTGCTAAGCATAATGTATAGTTGCTCATATACTGTAAATGTTTTTTTATTTTTTTATTAATGAGTATAATTAATTTGTTATGTGTAGTTTAACTTGAAGGTGAATTTCGCAATGTTAAATAACCGTATGTTGAAGCTGGAGCCAGACGTGATTCAATCTAGAATGTTTAGGGGTCTTATATTAGGCAACACAAATTTTATTGGTCATTAATTTGAAGTTCCTTGCCTTAAAGGTTCAAACACAACTGAACTATAAAGATGAAGTGGTAATATTTAATATCTGTATTTGTGATTTACCCGGTTTAGGCCTTCACCTTTGACTTCTAGCAAGTAAGTGCTTCTACACTTTGACCTTCGCCTGGACCTAGACAGAATGTTTTAGCTCTAGCTGTTTCTATGACAACACCAGTCGGAACTCCCTCTCTTCGTTCCATCCTGTTTGGTTCTAAACCAGTAGCAGAGCTGCTCTGTCTGATATTATGATGTAATAGTCTGCCATTACACATGCTGTTGTCTTGGAGTTTTAGTGTTGCATAATGGAGTTTAATGGACAGTGATGTGTTTTTACCCCCTTAAACATATGCTTTGTAGATTAATATTTACTCTGACTTATCATAAAAACTGATATTTCACTCTCCTACATCTTGACCTGCAGCTGTCCAGTGAAAATATTAGTTTTTTTTCAAATGAAAATGAATTGATAAGGATAATATGAATTGTTATTAAATATCAAATGTGCATATGAATTGCGTGTGTATGTATATATACACATACTGCACACACAATATACAAATACATTTTGGTAAATATAAATACAGAGTCAGGTCAGAAATGCTGCATTTCTGCAAGTGGTCTCCAACTTTTTTAGCAAATGACTTCAGAAAAAATAAGTTTCAGTATTAGCCATAAATCTGTTCTTTATGGTTTGTTTATTGTTTCTTCAAACATTCCATTTTAAAGAAACGTTATCTAAGAAACAAAAACATAATGATGACCTGATATTTTCTGCATGAATATGCAGCTGCAGTTTGGGAAATCAGTCTCAGAAAACACCACTAGAGGTCGCCTGCATCACATGTCAACAGGCACAACATTGCAGAGATTACAGTTGCTGGCATATTTCATTAACATGTTAAATAAAATACAAACAAATAAATAAATCCACAACCCATGCAAATTTAAATTTGTGGTGATATTTCTGTGCTTTCAGTCTTTACATAATATAAATGATTAGACAGAGATTTAACCATAACATTTATTTTAGAGTATTACTATCAGTGGACTGACTTTGAACTGAATTGCAGTTACAGTGACATTTTACTTTTAAGAGATACACTGACATTTTTTTTTACAATGATTTGTAAAAAATTTTTTTTTTTTACAAATGTTTTTTTTTTTATTATTATTATTATTATTACAATTATTAGTATTATTATTTGAAGAGGGAAACTGAAGTGCCAAAGGGGAAAAAATATATTATTACAATAATTTAATTCCTAATGCAGATCTCTGTTCCATGTGTTAAATCTTCAAATCTTCAAGGAAGCATGAATTCATCTGACTGCCATCCATTCCTGGAAGAGAAAGAAAAGAGAACTGGTCGAAGTAGCCAAAGTTCACAGAAAGAGAGGTAAGTCAGAAAATGCTGTAAAGATTACAACATGGGATACTGTGGACATGGGCAGCTAGCTGTTATATTCTCACAGCCTTTGTACTTAGCAGAAGTTCATTTAGCAAATGCTAAAGGCACGTGAGATTCTGCAACATTCTGCAACATTGCTTTCTTTTGCCAAAAAAGTTTTTTTGTGTAGTTCAGTTTAAATTAATCGGTTACTGCAAGTATGACTGTCTTAGTCACTGTCTGAAGCCAGACTTTCCAATCAGCTATCAAATCCATTACATTTATATTGAACAACATCCCTGTCAAAAAATAAATTAAATGTAAAAATTAGAAAATGTATAATAATAATAATAATAATAAAACGGTACCAAATTCCAAGTATGCAAAGCATTTCATAACATTTTCTGAAGTGACACGATAATGAATAAAGAGTAGCACACATAGCCTACACAGAGAACTTCATTGATGTACGTTTAATACAGACAAAAAGGCTGAGATCATTTTCCCTCATGATTTTTTTTTACAATTTTTTATTATTATTATTATTATTACTATAAAACGATTATCAAAACCATATATCTTCAGCTCATTACTTTAATCCAGTAAATATACAGTTTGTGTTTCTGTCTCAGCGCGTCGCTGTTGGCCAGTAAATGACAAACAGGCTTCATTTAAAGGGACGTTGTCATATACCAGAGGCTTGGTGGTCCTGAGAACAGCATCCTTTTCAGCAGCGTTTTTAAATCATTACAGGAATATTTTTACAAGGAAGACTGAACACAAGGGAAATTTCAAGAAGCAACACGACTAGTAACTCCCTCTTACTGATCTTTTCTTAGTGATGTTGTGTCTTCTGCTGGAATTGATGATGAAGCCAGTTGGACGGTGGGTTCCATTTTTCTTTGTACTGTGGGCAACATGGGAAACAGCTTTGTCTGTGACGCGATATTCCATACCGGAGGAGATGGAGCGCGGGTCGGTTGTTGCAAATCTAGCCGCTGATTTAGAGCTAGATGTTAGTGGACTAGCACAGCGAGAGGTAAAACTTGATATTTTCCATAACAACAAATATCTAGATATTAATAAAATTACTGGCGAGTTATTTATTGTTGAGAAAATGGATAGGGAAAATCTGTGTCCTACGAAAACCACGACAACCTGTTTTCTAAAATTAGATTTAATAATTGAAAGCCCGTTGCGCATTTTCAATATTGAATTGGGCATCACAGACATTAACGATAATGCTCCTCATTTCCGGCGAGATAAAATTGAATTGGATGTCTCAGAGTCCGCAACACCGGGAGAACGATTTTCTTTGCCCAATGCTTTTGACCCGGACGTTGGTGCCAATACAGTCAAGACCTATAAATTAAGTGAAAGTGAACATTTTTCTGTTGATATACATTCTGGTAGTGATGGAACAAAATATGTCGATTTGGTTCTCGTGAAGGCTTTAGACAGGGAAGAGAAGGCTGTTCATAATCTGATACTCACTGCAATTGATGGCGGCGTCCCTGCGCGCTCTGGCACGGCTAGTATTATTGTGCGCGTCCAAGATACAAATGACAACGCCCCTCAGTTTGATCAGGCAGTTTATTCTCTGAATATGAGCGAGAATTCTCCAGCTGGTACTGTTGTTATTAAATTAAAGGCTACTGATGCTGATGAAGGCCCAAACGCAGATCTTACATACTCATTTACGCTTTACACTTCTGAGAAAACACAGGAGATGTTCTCGCTGAATTCAAAAACGGGCGAAATTGCAGTTAAGGACACCATTGATTATGAAGATATGAAAATATTTGAGATGTTCGTTGAAGCTAAAGACAATGGTCCGGTTCCACTCTCCGGTCAATGCAGAGTGACTGTGTATGTTAAGGATATGAACGATAACTATCCCGAGATAACCATAAAATCTCTTAAGAACACAGTGGATGAAAACATCCCAGTCGGGTCTGTTATAGCTCTAGTGGGTGTTAGTGACAGAGACACGGGGAATAACGGTAAGGTAAATCTGACAATGAACAAGTCCTTACCGTTTCTTTTAAACAAAACCTCTGACTACCTCTATGAGTTATTGGTGTCGGAACCGTTAGATCGTGAAATTGTCCCAGAATATGAGATCACGTTGGTTGTGACGGATGAAGGAAGTCCTCCCTTATCTGATAACGAAACTATAAGTGTCCATTTGCTAGATGTCAACGATAACGCACCTCAGTTCCCACAGACATTCTACACGATACCTGTTATGGAGAATAACGCGCCTGGAGCTTTACTGAGCTCTTTAACTGCTATAGATCCAGATCTCCATGAAAATCAGTATTTAGTTTATTTTATAATAGAGAAGGAAATAGTGAACACCTCCATGTCCATGCTGTTCTCTATTAACCCAGAGAACGGGAATCTTTACGCGCTAAAGACGTTTGACTATGAGATAGAGAAGGAGTTCCTTTTCCACATCGAGGCCAGAGACTCTGGTGTTCCTCCGCTCAGCAGTAACGTGACCGTTCACATTATTATCATGGATCAGAACGACAACACGCCGCTTATAGTGTCTCCATGGCGCGCGCACGGCTCGGTGGTTGAGGAAAAGATCCCGAGATCCACCGATAAAGGAACACTGATAGCCAAAGTCATCGCCATAGACTCTGATTCAGTGCACAACTCTCGAATCACGTACCAGTTCCTCCACAACACTGACGCCACATTATTCAGCTTGGATCAATATAACGGAGAGATCCGGACCACGAGAATGTTCAGTTACAGAGACTCGCGCCACCAGCAGCTGGTTGTGATCGCCAAGGACAACGGAGAGCCCGCGCTCTCTGCTACAGTCACCATCAAACTGTCCACGGTGGAGACCGCCCTTAAAACCTATGCTGACATGACTGAGGTGCCTTTGGGATATGACATCTTCTCCGATTTAAACCTGTATCTGGTGATCGGACTGGGCTCTGTTTCATTTCTTTTACTCATCACTATATTGGTCACCATCGTGCTGAAGTGTCAGAAAACGAAGCCCAGCAAAGCGACTCCTCCGTGCAGGAACAGTGTGATCAGCGAGAGGAACTCGACCATCGCGGATTCCACTCTGGTCTCCAACGATGCCTACTGGTACAGTTTATTTCTAGCAGAGACGAGGAAAGGAAAGCTGGTGGTCAGACAGCCTGTGCCAAAGGGAGCGAGATACATCGTGTCCAGTTTACCGAGAAGCACAGGACTGACCGAGACCAGCGACTCAGCTGCATCTACACTACAGGTAAGACAATCCAAATCAATTATCAAAGAAAGATTTACAAAACGTTTCACGCACAATTTCCTTTCAGATTGTAAGAGAAGAGGTGGTGTGTGCGCCCTACCCTAATATAGCCACTCAGTGTTTCTCAGGTTGAGAAAATATGAGATTTTTTCCTTTCATATTTTAATTAGTTTAATTTCTTCTCAATAATTTCGTTGCATATATTTTTTAAACAACTTGTGTATTTGTTCTTTCCACTTGTTATTTTGAGGCTCTTCATCTATTAGCACATTATTCCTTTCCATCGAGTAAAAACAAACAAACACATACATAGTAAAAAAGAAGAATACCTATTCCAAGCGAGGCTGTTCTCTTCTTATTGTGTATGTTCAGACTAAACTCACTGAGCGTCGCTGTTCTCTAAAAAACGCTTTTGGTCATAATCACAGTCACCATGAGAGATTTCCTATAGGAGGAAAGAGCACAAAGAGCGCGCCATGACAAGAGATTCGCTGTGTGCCCCATTCACTTCTCAACTAATTTCGTGATCTCGAGGAATACAAATATCTCAAACGTTGCAGAATGGAAGGATACGTGAAGTCACAGTTCTGGAGGTATGTAACGGCCCTCATGTTTTTCTTCGCTATTTTAGACTCCTCGTCCTCTGTTACACACTATTCTATTCCAGAGGAAATGGAGGAAGGCTCTGTTGTTGCTAATTTGGCGTCAGATTTGGGACTGGATGTGAAAACACTGAGCAGACGAAAAATGCGTCTCGACATTATATCTAACAAAAAATATCTGGATGTCAATAAAGAGACAGGAGAGCTCTATATATTAGAAATGATGGATCGAGAATATCTTTGTTCGTCTAAAACGGCGACAACATGCTTTATAAAAATGGAAGTGACACTCGAGAAACCTGTGCGCATATTTAACTTTGAAATTGAAATTGTAGACATAAATGATAATGCTCCCCAGTTTCGGAGAGATACCATCCACCTGGATATATCAGAATCTACAGCAGCCGGAGAGAGATTCTCGCTCAGTAATGCGGTGGATCCTGATACTGGCTCGAATTCGATTAAAACGTATTATTTGAGTGAGAGCGAACATTTTGACATTGAAATACAAACAGGAAGGGACGGTTCAAAATTTGCTGATTTAATTCTTAAAATGCCTTTAGACAGAGAAAAACAAGCTTCACATAATCTGATACTCACTGCTGTGGATGGAGGAGTCCCCGCGCGCTCTGGCACTGCTAGCATTATTGTGCGCGTTCTGGACACGAATGACAACGCCCCTCAATTCGACAAAGACAGTTACACTATAAATCTAACAGAAAACGCACCTATTGGTAGCCTTGTAGTGAAACTAAACGCCACAGATAAAGATGAAGGCTTCAATTCAGATATAATTTACTCCTATAGTTTGTACACCTCAGAGAAAACGCAGCAGACATTCAGTCTGAATCCTGACAATGGAGAAATCAGAGTAAAAGAAATGATTAATTATGAGGACTTCAGGATCTACGATATGGAAATTATAGCAACAGATAAAGGAGTTAATAGTCTCTTTGGAAAATGCAAAGTAAAAATTTTAACCAGTTTACCGAGGAGCACAGGACTGACCGAGACCAGCGACTCAGCTGCATCTACACTACAGGTAAGCACTGCCACATAGTGAATTGAAAAAAAAGAGGATAAAAAAGGTAAAATATAAGTTATGGATGTTTTTTTCCAAGTAATGTAAAATGCCCATTTAGGTTCAATTTTGCACTTGCATATTTGCTTTTATTTTTCTAGTTCAGCAGTTAATCTGCTGAAAATGTAGACAAGAAGATAAGATATATGTTGCATCACTTTTACGCGATGCAGTGTAGGTACTTATTTTCAGAGATAATTCAGCTGCTTTCAAGCTCGAAATGTTTCTCAATCAGGAGAATGTTACTTGTATTAATTACCTGTTACGTAATGCATTTTTATTGGCACCGTTTTGAAAATCACCTGACTTGCATTTGTCATTTGCTTTTGTTTGCATATAGTATATGAAACGCTTCATTATAGGTATTATATTTTTTTTCACTTTTTTTCTGAACATTTTTTATTAATACCTTAACCAGCGTAACAACATTTTAAAATACATTTCCAATTTTACTCTTTATGCTGCACTCCTCGCTCTTGTGCGCACAGAGTCGCTGTCCACCAAGATAATACTTTTCTAGTAATTCAGCCACCGTCGCTTCTTCATCTGTGGACAACATTGCAGTATTTCTTTCAGGCAGGACCATTCGCTCTTTCATATATTGGTCCAGTTGTATTTTCTTACATTGCGCGAATTATATTCTTGAACCATATCCACGGTTTGGAACTCTTTGGACCTGCTTTCTGTGTGCACTTTCAGGAAAATCAAAACAATGGAACCGAAAACACGACTATGGTTGAGGTACGTCTCGACCTTCGTATTTCTTGCTTCTGTGTTTCAGACAGCAGCTGCTGTTACTCACTACACAATTCCTGAGGAAATGGACGAAGGGTCTGTGGTTGCCAATTTGGTGTCTGATTTGGTATTGGATTTGAAAAGTCTTAGTAAACGTAAAATACGGTTGGATGTGGTCGCTAATAAAAAATATCTTGACGTTAACAAAGATACTGGGGAGCTGTACATTTTAGAAAAGATTGACAGAGAAAATCTGTGCACATCAAAATCAGCCACAACATGCGTTCTTAAAGTGGATGCCACATTGGAGAATCCTATTCGAATGTTTAATATTGAACTTGAAATAATGGACATAAATGATAATGCGCCACGTTTTCGTCGGGATACGATGCATTTAGACATATCAGAGGCAACAGCAATAGGGGAGAGGTTTTCCCTCACGAATGCTGTAGACCCTGATACAGGTTCAAATTCCGTAAAGACATACTATCTCAGTGAAAGCGACCACTTTAGTATTGAGATTCAGACTGGACGAGACGGATCTAAGTTTGCTGACTTAATACTGAAAAAGTCATTAGACAGAGAAAAACAAGCTTCACATAATCTGATACTCACTGCTGTGGATGGAGGAGTCCCTGCGCGCTCTGGCACTGCTAGCATTATTGTGCGCGTTCTGGACACGAATGACAACGCCCAACATGCTTTATAAAAATGGAAGTGACACTCGAGAAACCTGTGCGCATATTTAACTTTGAAATTGAAATTGTAGACATAAATGATAATGCTCCCCAGTTTCGGAGAGATACCATCCACCTGGATATATCAGAATCTACAGCAGCCGGAGAGAGATTCTCGCTCAGTAATGCGGTGGATCCTGATACTGGCTCGAATTCGATTAAAACGTATTATTTGAGTGAGAGCGAACATTTTGACATTGAAATACAAACAGGAAGGGACGGTTCAAAATTTGCTGATTTAATTCTTAAAATGCCTTTAGACAGAGAAAAACAAGCTTCACATAATCTGATACTCACTGCTGTGGATGGAGGAGTCCCCGCGCGCTCTGGCACCGCTAGCATTATTGTGCGCGTTCTGGACACTAATGACAACGCCCCTCAATTCGACAAAGACAGTTACACTATAAATCTAACAGAAAACGCACCTATTGGTAGCCTTGTAGTGAAACTAAACGCCACAGATAAAGATGAAGGAACGAATTCCGATATATTTTACTCTTTTAGTCTATATACCTCCGAAAAAACGCAGCAGACATTCAGTCTGAATCCTGACAATGGAGAAATCAGAGTAAAAGAAATGATTAATTATGAGGATTTCAGGATCTACGATATGGAAATTATAGCAACAGATAAAGGAGTTAATAGTCTCTTTGGAAAATGCAAAGTAAAAATTTTAATCACAGATATGAATGACAATCATCCTGAAATTTCTATAAAATCATTCTCAAGTCCAGTGAAAGAGGATATACCTGTAAATACAGTAATTGCAGTTGTTAGTGTGAGTGATAAAGACTCAGGAGAAAATGGACAGGTAGATATTCATATTTCTGATGATTTACCTTTTGCGCTCAAAGAATCGTCTGATAATTATTATGAATTATTAGTTTCAGAACCGTTAGACCGTGAAAAGGTTCCAGAATATGATATCACTATTACCGTGACTGACATTATTCAGCTTGGATCAATATAACGGAGAGATCCGGACCACGAGAATGTTCAGTTACAGAGACTCGCGCCACCAGCAGCTGGTTGTGATCGCCAAGGACAACGGAGAGCCCGCGCTCTCTGCTACTGTCACCATCAAACTGTCCACGGTGGAGACCGCCCTTAAAACCTATGCTGACATGACTGAGGTGCCTTTGGGATATGACATCTTCTCCGATTTAAACCTGTATCTGGTGATCGGACTGGGCTCTGTTTCATTTCTTTTACTCATCACTATATTGGTCACCATCGTGCTGAAGTGTCAGAAAACGAAGCCCAGCAAAGCGGCTCCTCCGTGCAGGAACAGTGTGATCAGCGAGAGGAACTCGACCATCGCTGATTCCACTCTGGTCTCCAACGATGCCTACTGGTACAGTTTATTTCTAGCAGAGACGAGGAAAGGAAAGCTGGTGGTCAGACAGCCTGTGCCAAAGGGAGCGAGATACATCGTGTCCAGTTTACCGAGAAGCACAGGACTGACCGAGACGAGCGACTCAGCTGCATCTACACTACAGGTAAGATCACATTTTATAGTCTACCTTTTTATTATTTTGTGCACATGTATTATGACTTATGAAACACCCAATCTGAGGTAAGAATATTTCAATAATGGTACTTGTTTTTTAGTCAATTAAAAAATAAAATAAAAAAAAGTTTAATAATAAATTGTGCGGGTAAGTGCATATTAACGTGTACAAGTTTTAAGGCACCTCATTGTGTGCGCCAAGTGGCGCTGTAGTCTCACAAATTGCACATCACTGCGAGCGTAATTTCAACGTCATTATCACATTTAGCCATTTTGCAATGAACCCTTGTTTTCTGCGACTCTGGCTTTAGACAAAATATTGCGATTTACGTCGAGGAAACATTTAATATTTTATCCCTTCACTAACAGTTCTTTTTGCATCTCATTTTGGAGTCATATCCAATGCTTTGTTGCTCCATGAACTGCGTTGTCACTGCATCATAAGCATTTGAGCAGACAATGGATTCTGATTTGAACACCCGGTCAAGGGGAAGGTATGTTGCGCTGTTTTTACTTTTATCAGTATTTTATCAATCAGCTCTGGCTGTTACTCACTATTCTATTCCAGAGGAGATGGAAGTGGGTCTGTCGTGGCAAATTTAGCCACTGATTTGGGACTTGATGTACAGACTTTGATTAAACGAAACATCCGTTTAGATGTTATTGCTAGCAAGAAATATCTCGCCATAAACAAAGACAGGGGCGAGCTGTACATACTAGAGAAGATTGATCGTGAATATCTGTGTCCTGCCAAAACCACTTGCTTTTTAAAAATGGAAGTTATAGTGGAGAACCCTGAGCGAATATTTTACATAGAACTGGAAATCACAGATATCAATGACAATAACCCTCAATTTCGACGAGACACAATCAATTTAGATATCACTGAATCTACACCTGCGGGTGAGCGATTTTCTGTCAGTAATGCAGTGGATTCTGATGTCGGTTCCAACTCGGTTAAAACGTATTATCTGAGCCAGAAGGAGCACTTTGATATTGAAATTCAGTCTGGGAGGGACGGCTCCAAATTTGCTGATTTAATTTTAAAAAAGGCACTAGATCGTGAAACCCAACCAGTTCATAATCTGATACTGACAGCAGTGGATGGCGGAGTTCCTCCGCGTTCAGGAACGGCCAGTATCGTCGTTCGTGTGTTGGATGCAAATGACAACGCCCCTAAATTTGATCAGGAGAGCTACACCATCAGTTTAACTGAAAACTCACCCATAGGCAGCCTGCTTGTTAAATTAAATGCAACAGATCTAGATGAGGGTTCTAATGCCGACCTTGTGTATTCATTTAGTCTGTATACATCAGAGAAGACACAGAAAGCTTTCAGTTTAAACCCTGACAGTGGTGATATTAGAATTAAGGAGATGGTTAATTATGAAGATTTTAAAATTTACGATATGGAGGTTATAGCATCAGATAAAGGAACTCATCCATTATCCGGTCAATGTAAATTATCCATTATAATTACCGACATGAATGACAATCACCCAGAAATTTCAATTAAGTCATTTCAGAGTCCAGTGAAAGAGGATGTACCTGTAAATACAGTAATCGCAGTTGTTAGTGTGAGTGATAAAGACTCAGGAGAAAATGGACAGGTAGATATTCATATTTCTGATTATTTACCTTTTACGCTCAAAGAATCATCTGATAATTATTATGAATTATTAGTTTCAGAACCGTTAGACCGTGAAAAGGTTCCGGAATATGACATCACTATTACCGTGACTGACAGGGGCAACCCGCCGTTATCTGATAATGAAACAATAACTTTAGAGCTGCTGGACGTTAACGACAATGTTCCTCAGTTCCCGCAGACATTCTACACGATACCTGTTATGGAGAATAACGCGCCTGGAGCTTTACTGAGCTCTTTAACTGCTATAGACCCAGATCTCCATGAAAATCAGTATCTAGTCTATTTTATCATAGAGAAGGAAACAGTGAACACCTCCATGTCCATGCTGTTCTCCATTAACCCAGAGAACGGGAATCTTTACGCGCTAAAGACGTTTGACTATGAGATAGAGAAGGAGTTCCTTTTCCACATCGAGGCCAGAGACTCTGGTGTTCCTCCGCTCAGCAGTAACGTGACCGTTCACATTATTATCATGGATCAGAACGACAACACGCCGCTTATAGTGTCTCCATGGCGCGCGCACGGCTCGGTGGTGGAGCAAAAGATTCCGAGATCCACCGATAAAGGGACTCTGATAGCCAAAGTCATCGCCATAGACTCTGATTCAGTGCACAACTCTCGAATCACGTACCAGTTTCTCCACAACACTGACGCGACATTATTCAGCTTGGATCAATATAACGGAGAGATCCGGACCATGAGAATGTTCAGTTACAGAGACTCGCGCCACCAGCAGCTGGTTGTGATCGCCAAGGACAACGGAGAGCCCGCGCTCTCTGCTACAGTCACCATCAAACTGTCCACGGTGGAGACCGCCCTTAAAACCTATGCTGACATGACTGAGGTGCCTTTGGGATATGACATCTTCTCCGATTTAAACCTGTATCTGGTGATCGGACTGGGCTCTGTTTCATTTCTTTTACTCATCACTATATTGGTCACCATCGTGCTGAAGTGTCAGAAAACGAAGCCCAGCAAAGCGGCTCCTCCGTGCAGGAACAGTGTGATCAGCGAGAGGAACTCGACCATCGCGGATTCCACTCTGGTCTCCAACGATGCCTACTGGTACAGTTTATTTCTAGCAGAGACGAGGAAAGGAAAGCTGGTGGTCAGACAGCCTGTGCCAAAGGGAGCGAGATACATCGTGTCCAGTTTACCGAGAAGCACAGGACTGACCGAGACCAGCGACTCAGCTGCATCTACACTACAGGTAAGACAATCCAAATCAATAATCAAAGAGAGATTTACTTGACGTTTTACGCACAATTTCTAAGCGAAGAATCATTTCGTGCGCCTTTGTATAATAAGCAACACAAGTGTTTCCCAGTTTTAGAAAATGGCATTCTACCTCTTAGAGTTGTATTGTTTTAGTGTCTTCATATTTATCCATATTTTTTGCAAGGGCTGTTTATTGTTTGTCTTTACATGTGCTATTTTGAATCTTCACATTTAAATCTAATTTTCTCAATTTGAGCGCAGCAACAAGTACTGAATTGCTGGGGTTGGAGCGCTGGACAAAAAAAAAAATCAAATAATGCGGTAAATAGAAAAAATACCTATTGTAAGTAAGGCTGTTCTCTTCAAGTTGTGTATGTTCATGGTGTACTCACTGAGCGTCGCTATCCTCTAAGAAAACGCTTTTGGTCATCGTCTCAGTCGCCATGACAGATTTCAGGAGGAAAGCGCACAAAGGATCGCGCCATGACAAGTGTTTCGCTGAGTGTCCTATTCGTTTCTCTGACCATTTCATGACCGCGAGGAGTACACATATCTCAAACGCTGCAAAATGGAGGGATGCGTAAAGTCACAGTTTTGGAGGTATGTAACGGTCTTTCTGTTTTTCTCCGCTATTTTGGACACAGTGTCCTCTGTTACACACTATTCTATTCCAGAGGAAATGGAGGAAGGCTCTGTTGTTGCTAATTTGGCGTCAGATTTGGGACTGGATGTGAAAACACTGAGCAGACGAAAAATGCGACTCGACATTATATCTAACAAGAAATATCTGGATGTCAATAAAGAGACAGGAGAGCTCTATATATTAGAAAAGATGGATCGAGAGTTCCTCTGCAGTGTTAAAACATCAACCTGTTTTATCAAAATGGAAGTGATACTCGAAAATCCTGTTCGAATATTTAACATTGAAATTGAAATTGTTGACATTAACGATAATGCTCCCCAGTTTCGGAGAGATGCGATCCATTTGGATATATCAGAATCTACAGCAGCCGGAGAGAGATTCTCGCTCAGTAATGCGGTGGATCCTGATACTGGCTCGAATTCGATTAAAACTTATTATTTGAGTGAGAATGATCATTTTGACATTGAAATACAAACAGGAAGGGACGGGTCAAAATTTGTTGATTTAATTCTTAAAAATCCTTTAGACAGAGAAAAACAAGGTTCACATAATCTGATACTCACTGCTGTGGATGGAGGAGTCCCCGCGCGCTCTGGCACTGCTAGCATTATTGTGCGCGTTCTGGACACGAATGACAACGCCCCTCAATTCGACAAAGACAGTTACACTATAAATCTAACAGAAAACGCACCTGTTGGAAGCCTTGTAGTGAAATTAAACGCGACAGATAAAGATGAAGGCTCAGGTCTCCAACGATGCCTACTGGTACAGTTTATTTCTAGCAGAGACGAGGAAAGGAAAGCTGGTGGTCAGACAGCCTGTGCCAAAGGGAGCGAGATACATCGTGTCCAGTTTACCGAGGAGCACAGGACTGACCGAGACCAGCGACTCAGCTGCATCTACACTACAGGTAAGAAACGCATCCTTATGAACCTTAATACAAATTATGTATCTTTCTTTATTTAATTTTTTTTAGTTCAGCGTATTTGGGGCATTCGTAATTTTCTTTCATCTTCGTTTGCAGTCTAATAAAAACAAAAATAACAACAAAGCAGTTATCTTAAAATAAGCATTTTTTTTGCTGCTAAAAGCACAATCATACAGGATGTACAAACTTGGCGCCATGTGTCGCTGTTCACCAACAAAAACCAATGTTAAGTGGTAAATTTTTCAGCCGCCATGACGCATAATCAGCAGGAGAGTGCGTTTCTTTTTAGTCTTGAGGGAGGTGATCCGGTCAGACAGCCTGTGCCAAAGGGAGCGAGATACATCGTGTCCAGTTTACCGAGAAGCACAGGACTGACCGAGACCAGCGACTCAGCTGCATCTACACTACAGGTAAGAAACGCATCCTTATGAACCTTAATACAAATTATGTATCTTTCTTTATTTAATTTTTTTTAGTTCAGCGTATTTGGGGCATTCGTAATTTTCTTTCATCTTCGTTTGCAGTCTAATAAAAACAAAATAACAACAAAGCAGTTATCTTAAAATAAGCATTTTTTTGCTGCTAAAAGCACAATCATACAGGATGTACAAACTTGGCGCCATGTGTCGCTGTTCACCAACAAAAACCAATGTTAAGTGGTAAATTTTTCAGCCGCCATGACGCATAATCAGCAGGAGAGTGCGTTTCATTTTAGTCTTGAGGGAGGTGATCCTGTTGTAGTTCGTGCTGTGCGAGAATACGATTCACGTTTGTGGTCAGTTGAGTCTATGGCCTGGAAATAATCAGCCGTTCACTCTCGTCTCGTAATTTTATGTAATTGTAGCTGTGTTAACCCGAGTCACTATGAAGGGACGCGCTGCTGTGATCGCTGATGATAAGAGGTACGTGTTCATCTTCCTTCTGTTCCCTGCGATCTTTGGCATTACGTCTGCCGTCACACATTACTCTATTCCTGAAGAAATGGTAGCTGGATCCGTTGTGGCTAATCTAGCCACAGATTTGGGGTTAGATTTAAAAACTTTAACCAAACGGCGAATACGATTAGATGTCATTAGTAACAGAAAATACCTGGACATTAACAAAGAAACCGGAGATCTTTATATAGCGGAGAAAATAGATCGAGAATATCTGTGCAACTTCAAGACATCGTCCTGTTTTTTAAAGATGGATGTGACAGTCGATAACCCTGAGAGAATATTTAATATTGAGCTTGAAATACTGGATATCAATGACAATGCACCGCACTTCAGGAGGGATACAATGCACCTTGATATTTCTGAATCTACCCCAGTTGGCGAACGATTCTCTCTGAATAACGCTGTAGATCCAGACTTTGGCTCAAATTCAATCAAAACATACTATCTAACTGAAAGCGAGCATTTTGATATTGACATACAGTCTGGAAGGGACGGGTCGAAATTTACAAATTTAGTCTTAAAAAAGCCATTAGACCGCGAGAAACAGGCAACGCATAATATGATACTCACTGCTGTAGATGGAGGAGTCCCCGCACGTTCTGGAACGGCAAGTATTATTGTGCGCGTGTTAGATGTGAATGACAACGCCCCAAAATTTGATAAAGACAGTTATACTATTAACCTTACAGAAAACTCTCCGATTGGAAGTCTTATATTGAAATTAAACGCATCAGACTTAGACGAGGGATCAAATTCAGATATAGTTTATGCATTCAGCCTGTATACCTCTGAAAAAACACAACACACATTTAGTTTAAATCCTGAAAATGGTGAAATTAGAGTCAAAGAAATTGTTAGCTATGAGGATTTTAAGATTTATGATATGGAGGTCATTGCTACCGATAAGGGGGGAAATCCCTTATCTGGACAATGTAAACTGACTATATTGATAAATGATATGAACGACAATCATCCTGAAATTTCTATAAAATCATTCTCAAGTCCAATGAAAGAGGATGTGCCTGTTTCGGACTGGGCTCTGTTTCATTTCTTTTACTCATCACTATATTGGTCACCATCGTGCTGAAGTGTCAGAAAACGAAGCCCAGCAAAGCGACTCCTCCGTGCAGGAACAGTGTGATCAGCGAGAGGAACTCGACCATCGCGGATTCCACTCTGGTCTCCAACGATGCCTACTGGTACAGTTTATTTCTAGCAGAGACGAGGAAAGGAAAGCTGGTGGTCAGACAGCCTGTGCCAAAGGGAGCGAGATACATCGTGTCCAGTTTACCGAGGAGCACAGGACTGACCGAGACCAGCGACTCAGCTGCATCTACACTACAGGTAGGCTTACATACCGTCAACAGGTGAACTACTTCTTCAAAGAAGCCAGACAACGGTATACAGTTTGACTTTTCAACCTTTAGCCAAACACTTTATAAGCCCACATTATTCTCTCTGAGAATATTATTCTTATTTTCAGCTTCTGCCTTTCAAGTACACATTCACATCATATTTTCCAACTTCCCATCTTGTGAAGTTATGCTGAAGTTGAAATGGGAGTGTTTCAGTCGTTCTTAGCACATCTTCTATTGTACTTTAGGAGTTTGTATATGCATTTTTTTTCTTTTTCTCTTTGTAAAATTTCTGTTTGACTCAATCCAATACTGTTCTTTTTATTTACAATCAGTTAAACGTAATTTTCTTGTCTTAAAAGTTCACATACACATATTTGTATATATATGCAAATATTTATGCTTATATTTGTTCAGACAAAATGACAGAAGTGAGCATTGCCTTCTTGCAAATGTTTATGTGTGTTTTTGCTGTTTATTCTGATTCTACAATTCTACAACCGCATAAATCTTACCTGTTGTACATATACTCTCAGCTTCCTTCTAGCTGAGCTGCTGCCACAGAGAAAAAGAGAGTGTCTGTCTGTGTGTGTGTGTGTGTGTGTGTATGTATGAAGTGTAAATTTGTGCAAGTGTGTTGTGACCTGTTGCTTCTCTCTCAGAGCTGGTTGACCTACTTTTCTGACTATATTATATTATATTATATAATATTATATTACGTTTGTCTCTCATGTTCCAAGTTTTTTTTTACGCACACGCACACGCACACACACACATACACACACACACACACACACACACACATACACATACACATACACAAAAGCAAACAACAGTGGCCCCACAAATATTTAGATAGTTAAATCACACATTGGCAGTTTCTACTTCACTGTAAAAAATTAATCAGGGGTTTTGTAATTTTCATTTAAAAAAATAAGGTGATAATTAAAAATAGTGCGTATATTTTATTAAAGAAATTGTGGTTTAGTGTTGTATAGAACATTTTGAGAACTTTTCACTAATAAAACCAAGAGATTATGTTTTCCTCATATTTTTTTAAGGAAACTTAAGCAGTTTTGAGGCTTGAATTGAAAAATTTATTAAACTTTAAAAAAAAAAAAAAATAAGGAAAGAAGGTTATCTATTTATTTCAAGAGAATTAGCTCTATTTTGCAGTTTTATTTTGGCTGTGATTGTTAGTTCCCAGCATGCTTTGCATTTGGCTGGATATGGAGAGTAAATATTGAAATTAAGTACTACTTCATTTGTTTTTGAGTAAAGCGAAACATCTATTAATGTTTATTGTTCAGCTATGTTTGACATTTGAAAGAATTTCTAAGTTGAAGTTTCTGTCGTTACCATTGTGCAGAAGAGTAGAGCTTATGGTTATGGATAACTGCATGTACTAACAATGTGGGGCATGATGCTTTGTTCAATCAGCTTTGTTAATATTACTGCAGTGAGGTTTATCCCTACTTGAGCTATTTGGCTGTATACAGTGTTTTAATTGTACAAAGTAACTCAAAAAGTCAAATACAAACAGGCCTTACTCAAAATCACGGACTTTTGAGAATTAATAATATTGAAATCATTGTGCCATAGATGAAATAATTTAGGAGATTTTAATAGTCTTAAAAGCTACTCAAAAATAGTATGTGTAATATTGCTACCATAATTGTTTAAGTATCATACCATTTTCATACCATTTTTGAGTTTTATTGCATAAATAAAGTATTATTTTGTAAAATTTAAAAGTGTGGCTTAATTATACAAAAACTTTTGGGTCCACTGTGTTTCTTAGCATTGGCACAAATCACTTACAATAACACTTCACAAGTGACGTACAATTTTTCTTTTCTTTTTTATTTATTTTCCATAAATGTATTAAATATGTATAAATAATGTTTTCTTTACTGAACATGATACATTTGAATTTAAGCACTTGCTATTTTTAAATATGCATCAAGTCTTGTTTATTTGTATGATTATGATATATATTTTTTCTGTAGCATTTTTTTAACTTGTTCTCTTTTGTTAGAGAGTGTTACCTGAAGGACAGGTAAGTTATTTGAAAGACAAAATTAGAAAGTTTTTAACTTTTCCTATTATTTTTGTGCAGTCTTTTTTTCATGTAAACAATGTATTTTAATCTGTCTCTCCTCTCAGTCTCTCATTCTTAGTGCTTCTTAGTGAATTGCATAATGTAGTTTGTTTTCCTTCATTTGTTATGCTTTAACATTTCTCACATTGTATCTCAGGTTACCTGGAGTCCCCGATAATTCAGACAACAAGGAGAGGACAACAACCCATTTTCTTGATTTGATTTGTTAATGCACCGTAGATCTTTTACACCATGCTTAGACTGATATAGATAAGTTAAAATCAATGTGGATTGAGGTTTTGTTGACAGAAAAGTGTTCAGTGAAATTCATCAAAATGATTGTGCTGAAAGCTAAATATTGAAATGTATGTCTCTGCTTTTGTTTCCGTTTTAAAGTACTCAAAATGAACGAGGTCCCCTCTCCCGCTGGAGGTATGCAGTCCTGACTTCACCATTCTCTCGATTTCTGGAGCGCCTGATCCCAGGGCCCACTGACCTTTACTGAAATATATGTGACTCTGTGTGTTTCTCTTTGTGGTTGGTGATTTTTGTCAGTGGAGTTTGCCTTGTCCTGTTGTAGGAGGAGCCAAATGAACCTATTTATTCAACTGAAGTCAAATCAGTTTTATTCAGTTTAGATGCAGATAAATGCTTCAACAGGTCAACATCAACACTCAGTTCGACATTTCACTTGGTCTTCTGAGCTTTGTAGATGTACAGGTTTAAACTTTGCAGTATTTATGAACACAACGTGTGTATTTTTTTCCCCACTTGTGGAACTCAAAACTGAAACCCGCAGTTTTTTATTCTTCACTACAAATTATGTTATGCAGCCTCACAAAACCCAACTTTTATAGACACCTGTGACCAGCAGAAATGCTAATGATAACTCTGATTCTCTGTGGTTTGATTGACAGTGGCTGGGGGTGAAAATGTTGCTCAAATGCATTCCTTAATCGGTTAAAGAAAGTTCACCCAGAAGTAAAAATGGATAATTTACTCACCCTCATGTCTTTCCAAATTTGAATGATTTTCTTTGTTTCGTGGAAGAATGTTTATGCTGCTCTTTTTCTCTACAATGAAAGTGACAAGGAATGGAAGCTGTAAATTTCCGAAAAAATATTAAAAACCAACTGATTCTTGTCTTCACATTTTCTTGACACCATCTGTTTTCATTCACTTTCATAGTCTGAAAAAAAGCATCCAGGACATTTTTTCTTTTTGTGTTCCACAGACGAAAAAGTATGTTTTTAAATGACAGACGGGTTAGTAAATGGCAGAATTACATATTTCTGATTCTCTGTGGTTTGATTGACAGTGGCTGGGGGGGAAAATGTTGCTCAAATGCATTCCTTAATCGGTTAAAGAAAGTTCACCCAGAAGTAAAAATGGATAATTTACTCACCCTCATGTCTTTCCAAATTTGAATGATTTTCTTTGTTTCGTGGAAGAATGTTTATGCTGCTCTTTTTCTCTACAATGAAAGTGACAAGGAATGGAAGCTGTAAATTTCCGAAAAAATATTAAAAACCAACTGATTCTTGTCTTCACATTTTCTTTCGAATTCACTTTCATAGTCTGAAAAAAAGCATCCAGGACATTTTTTCTTTTTGTGTTCCACAGACGAAAAAGTATGTTTTTAAATGACAGACGGGTTAGTAAATGGCAGAATTACATATTTAGGAAGAGTGTTTTTAGCAAATATGGCTCTAGTGCATGATGTGGGTTTTAATGATATATGTACTGATTGTTCATCTACTAAACATCATTATGAGCTCCTCAGCCTGTTTGTTGAATGGTTTGTCTACTTGTGTGTTTGAATGGATGGTGAATTGACTGGTGGATTCCAATTTCACATACTGGTTCTGTTGAATTTTTCTTCACAAATGAATCAGAATGATGCAAAACAAATTACAACCACCCAGTTTTCAGCTCGCTGCCCTTCCGTCACCCCAACCACCCTCACCTGATATCTGAGCATGGTTCTCATTGATCAACCCACCCCTCCGTCACCTGTCAATCAAACCAAGGTTCCACCTTCTGTTTTGCCTGAAGCCTTTAAGAGACAGGCCTTGGTTGCATGAGATGTGTTCAGATTCTGGCCTATCACTTAGTGAATAATGTTTGAAGTTTAGGTTCTTACGTCCAGTTTTTCTTTCTCGTTGACAGGCGTCCACCACCACCAGCAGCAGTTCCAGCTAAGGATCCTCCCAACCGTATTGCCGGAGCAAAGTATGAAAAACGTTCCATCAACCAATCAGCATGTCTGTTCACCTGGATCCATCATATTCACCTGCACCATCCTACAGAGATGAAACCAACCCTGAGTGATGCCTACAGCTTCATGTCAATGTTCGGAGAGTTTGCCCTCACTTTCCCCTAACAAGCTCATTGTTGATCTGACCAGAGGAATGACGGAAGATCTTTTGCCTATGATACTAAGAGACACTCTTACACCTGACCGGTCAGGATTGGACTTGGACTGGATCTGTGAGCACACACACACACACACACACACACACACACACAAATTAATATCTTCAAACAACACAGCTCATGTCTTTATCAAATAAACTTTTCTGCAAATCCAGTATGCTTATGTTTGCATGGTTAAAGCGCCATGTTAGATCTTTGTTATATTTAGTGACTGGTAAAGACATTGGGGAGATAAATTATTAACAGAATATTCTCACATGAACTGACGTGGACACTGGATTGCAAAAAAAAAATAAAAATTCTTAATCTGTGGTTTTGTCTTATTTTCTGGTAAAATTATCTAAAAATGCTTGCAATAAGATTAATTTACAACACAAGCAAACATTGTGTAAACCTCAACTAAACTAAAATCTGAAAATCAAGTCACTCATTCATGCTCTGAAAAGCACTAATATCTTTGTATTTTGCTACTCATGTAAATATATCTGGTTTCAAGCATGTTTAGATATTTTTACTAGAAAATATAGAGATACTAATGACAAATGGGCTTTTTTTGCAATGTGGATGATATTAAACAAACACAAAGAGGATTAAATGATTCTGCCATGTTGAGAGATGGAGTGCGGAGCTTTTGCTAGACTGAATTTGGACATTGAAAGCTTCTCTTTCCCTGCAACAGATGTATAAAGCCTTTCTTATGTGTTTTCTTGGATCTCATAAAGACTAGACTGATTAGAAGATCAGAATAATGCAAGTGTTATCCAGTGTATTCAGAAGAGGTCACAGCAAATTCGATTTGTTGTGCTGTATAGTCTACAGTCTCTTATCTGTAGTGTTGTATTATGTCTGTGTTACTGTTTGTGTCAGTATTTTTGCGTTTCAGTATGTAAAGAATGAAGTTAAATCTAAGCACTGATCTGACACAGAAAGAGCTGAGTATTGTTGTAGTTCTGTGGTGACTGGTGACATTCATGAATGCACAAATGCAGGCACAGCACAGTGATGTCATAGTGCGGACATTTGATGGTCACAGTGGTTTCTAAGAGTTTAGGAGATTCATTAAGTAGCCACTTCCTGATGCTCAAGATTTCTGTCTCAGATAAAAAACCCACTGACTTCTAATAGAGACTGTTAAAGAGTGAGTTCCTTCTTGTTGTCCTTTATAAAAACACCACACTATTTCAGAGATAAAGACCATCAAACTTCACTAAATCTTTGAAATAAGGCCAAATATAAAGAGCACTCAAGGTGGTGGGTGACTTTTACTTGCTTTAAAACAAGAAAAGATGAGAACTGCTAATCTTTACTTATCAACTGTATAATTATCTGATGTTATGAAATGTGTTTAATATTCATGGAAATGCTTTGAAAAAAAAGACAATTAAGCCAAGTGAAAATACACTGCATTGCATTGAAATGCACTAGCCAAATATTATTGTTTTTCTTCATTTTTTTTTCTGGTGTTAAAATTATGTATTAATATTAATGCATTAATATAAACTTTCATATTGTTGCTTTTTTTCTTGATATTTTGTATTTGCTGGCTATATCAGTTGTGCAATATATGGACATCAATATTTTATTTCAGTGAACAGTATGGTATTGTTGTTTTTCTGATAGTTTCCAGGCTTTCTGAAATGTAATTTATTCATAGCTTCCTGAGGGTATGGCAGTTTTCCCAGGCAGGTCAAGAGGTCAGGGTGTCATGGGGTCAGTTCAATGACTGGAATGCACAGCATGTGTGTCTTGTCAAAGCAATGCACTATTACATAATACATTTGCATTAGATTTTCTGTTTTGGAGGAACAAATGCTGGATGTTTACATGTGGTATTTTAAACAGGAAGTAATAATTTCAAGGCTCTAAACTGGCTGTCTCAGAGGATTGGCTAATGTTCAGACATGGACAGTGTTGTAAAATAACATTGAGGCAATCAGAGGGGAAAAAATAAATACATTTTTTGTAGAATGACAAAATATTAAGGTGTTTTTCTTTGATTTATTGACTGCCTGTGTGAACAGCTATAGGTAGGTCACTCGTCTCTCACTGGCTAGAATTAATTTACCCAAAAGCCTCATTTTGTGGTATAAAAATGGACTACCTATATACAGCACTGGCCTGTCTTATGCCCTGTAGTACCATATGTTTCTTCTTCATTTCCCCTTCTGTCCAATTAAGCTTAATCCAGTTTTGCAAATGTGTTTTTCGAATTCATTTTCTACTGCTTTCCTAAAGCTGTACACATCCATGATCTGCCTCGGAGAAACTCACCAGACCCTCTTTGCTCATGCTTATCTGCTGATATTTTTGTACTGCATATTTACAATAGATAAAAACTTAATGTGATTTCTGTCATTCTCCATGTAATCCAGAAGTACATAAGATGTGATGGGACATTGCATTAGTAATATGTTTTTAGGTTTTAAATGACTTCTCAGTATGTGAGTAGCAATCTGCCTGTAGCCCAACTGAACACATGCACTGGAGTAAAACAACAACAACAACAAAAAAAAAACATGTTTGTACAGTATACCATTATGATTATCTTATAATCATGGAAGAGAAAAACAGTGTTTATGAACTTATCTGACTTCTGATAATCAGTGATATAATCAAAGTGACCTATTGTGAAAACTTTGCATGTTTTTGATCTGTATGGGGTGGTGAGTGTGCTTTTGTTTGGGTGGGTAAAGATGAGGTCATCACTGCAGATGATGTAATGCATTGAAGATAATCAGACAGATCACATTTCATATCAGCTTTTTCATTTAGATGTAACCACACTAGGATTATCATCACAAACTCTTTTTTTCCTGTTAATTCTGACAAATGGTAAATAGAAATAATAAAGCATTAACCACTGCCCTGACTGGCTTATTGCCTTGTTCTGATTCTGTGATGTGGGTCAGAACAAATAGAAAAAAAGAGTAACCACTCTTTGCTTCTCTTTCCCTCCTGACCCAGATTTCTCTCTGCCTGCACACAGAGAGAGACTGCAGCACCATTAAAAACTGCTGCAGCAGACACACACACAGAGAGAGAGAGAGAGAGAGAGAGAGAGAGAGAGAGAGAGAGAGAGTCTGGTTCACTATCCTTGTGGGGACTCCCCATAGGTGAATTGGTTTTTATACTATACAAACTGTAATTTATATCGCCCTACACCTAAAACTACCCATCACAGAAAACTTTGTGCATTTTTACAATCTCCAAAAAAAAAACTCATTCTGTATGATTCACTCAATTTAGGTCCCCATGAGTTGGTGTGTTTTCAGGTGTAAGTCCCCACCAGTATAGAAAAACATGTATACACACATACACACACACACACACAGTTTTCATTTGTCATATACATTTATCCTCAGAATTTTATCACGAAGGTCCACACACACACACACACAAAATTGCTATTGCCAGGCCTTCTCTAAACTAATTCTGTATGATTCACTCAATTTAGGTCCCCATGAGTTGGTGTGTTTTCAGGTGTAAGTCCCCACCAGTATAGAAAAACATGTATACACACACACACACACACACACACACACACAGTTTTCATTTGTCATATACATTTATCCTCAGAATTTTATCACGAAGGTCCACACACACACACACACACAATTGCTATTGCCAGGCCTTCTCTAAACTACAGTTCAGCTAACTGTGTCACCATCAAAACAACCATGCTTTCCTGAAAAACTGCAGAGAAAAAAGGCTTCAATCTGAGCAATCCAGCTGACTGCTGGTTTCTAGGCAACGGGAGCCTGTCTCTATAGCGACCGAGTAAAAGATAGATGGTGGAGCATGGGTTAAAGAGGAGAGAATAATTTTACAAGGAATGATAAAAAAATGTGTACAAATAATTAATAAAAAAACGACGGTGTTGTTACTGAGATTTCTTTCGTGAGCGATTAATTTATTTGATCTTCCTTATGTTCTTCCCAAACCCCCTCCCTTCATTCACTCTTTCCTCAGGAGACCGCAATGTTCAGCACCACGGACAGCGACCCACCTATCCAAATGCCCGTTGCCACGGTAACGGACTGCGGGCGGGGATGGGTGCATGATGCTGCAGCCTGTAATTTGATGCACAGACGTGAGGCTCAGCACGCCAGATCCGGGTATCTCGTATAGCTGTGCAGTCTATGTTAAACAAACACACTGTATAACGCAGAAATGTATAATAATATATGACTGCCTTTTTATGATATAGGAGAAGTATTGATTAACATGTGATTGATATGTATATTTGATCTTCATTTCACAAGAGCATGTGATGTGAATCACTTCGCTCTGCCCTCTGGTGTCTTTTGTCTGATATGTGGTTTGGATTTCACAGACCAGCGCAGATATGGGAATGCTCATACGTAAGCAGCTGAGGTGGGAGGGATCACAGAACAAAAGACGCGGGTGGGGCCGAGTTTGTCACGTGATCCATGTAACTGAACCACAAGGTGTCACTGCTCACCATGCAATTAGACACTAGAACACTGCATACTTACAAATTCTAGCTCATTTATTCTTTTAAAGCATGATAAAGCAGGATTTAAATGCGGATTTCAAGAAAGGAAAAATAAACAAAAGTTTTTTTGTTTTTTTTAAACTAATGAGATATTTCGTTCTCTTTTAGTACATTTGGTGTTGTGATGCCTCAATTTTAAAATTGTAATCTTTATAATATTATTTGAAAATAATAATAATAATAATAATAATAATAATAATAATTATTATTATTATTATTATTATTAGTAGTAGTAGTAGTAGTATTGGTATTAGTATCATTATTATTGTTGTTGTTGTTGTTGGTACTCATAAACATCACTAGAAGATGGAAGTTGCAGTTCTGCAAAATCGCTGTGAGTGGCGCTACAATACTAATCATCGCTAACAGTCCTGTTGAGCAGGTTCACTTCATGGGCTGGCGTATCAGACATCACTCTGGCTTTGAACAATGAACAACCACGACGATTTTAGATCTGTCTGTTAATTTGTCATTTGGAATAGCATACATGAGTTGACCGCATTTGCTTAAAACTATTTTCATTGGTGTTCAGAGGAAGCATGGCAAGAGAAAATAAAATAATATGGATGAGCAAGATTTTTTATCTGATATGTTT